TTCTCTGTGGGTGCCCCCACCCTCTGGAACGAACTACCCCCCGAGATCCGGACGATTCCGGACCTCCTACCTTTTCGCCGCGCCCTCAAGACATGGCTTTTTCAACAAGCGGGTCTGGCCTAGGGAGAATTTTTAAATAGGGACAATTTTAATTTAAATCTTAATTAATTATACAGCGGAAAAAAAAATATTTGGTTTTCAATAGGTTTTTATGGGGGGACGATGTTTTATGTGTTTTAATATGCTGTAAGCCGCCCTGAGTCCTATAGGGAGAAGGGCGGCATATAAATCCATGTAAATAAATAAATAAATAAATAAATAAACATTGAAAATGGCGGGAGGCCTGTCAATGAAGCACCGTAGGCCCACTGGAGCAACTTATATGCATAAAAATTACCAAGGCTTTATTTCAGATTTGAGGAGCTGGGAAAGAATGGGAAGAAAGATTAAAGTCGTGCTATTCAGAAAATCATCTGTAATTTTTGTTAACATACAGCTCAGAACCTCTGTGAGATTCCCTGAAAGAGCATTTGCTCTGAGATTTTTTTTTTCCAAAGGAGGAGGAAAAATCTCAGTAAAATTCTTATAGATGACGTCTGATAATTCTGTACTTACTTAAGTTACAATTTTGTCCAATAATTCATCACATTCTACCATCATCTCCCCAATTATAACTATGACAAGGTGGTAAGTCATTTCAGACTAATCCATGTAAAAGGCGGTGTTTTACATGCTAGATATTTGTACCTCACGGTAAAGAATGATGTGATTCATGTGTTAAAGTTTAGCTGAATTTAAAATTTATAATCCACTTCTTGGTTATTTAAAGAAACGTTCTGTCTTTATCTTTAAAACGAAAATTAGACCAAAAAGTTTTAAAAAATGGTTTGTCATTGAAATAAATTTACAAAATATTTCAAGCATTTTGCCTATTAAATAAAGTTTATTTATGTTACAGAAGGCTGCCATGGTCTTAGATTTCAAAGTGTTGGATTCTTTTTTTAAACAGACAAAAGAAAGAGTATTTGTTTTTCAGGAAGCAAGTAGAACCACTTACAACAACTTGTTTACTTAATGCTACTAACCTGTTCACCCAGTTGTGATTACCTGATGGTGAAGGAGGCACTCTCAGTTCTTTTATAATCTATTTCCACTACAATTGGAAGCAATTATAGCTATTCTGCTATTACTCTTTCATACTAAGGTTTAGAGGCTTCGGTATAATGTCTCTTTACACTTTGTGTGGGCTTCTTCATTTCGATTCATTAATATAAATTTAAAAGCAAAGATTCAGTATAGAAGTGGTGGTTTCAGCTACATTCAACAGCTCTGTAAATCAGGAAGGACGAAGACAAATCTAACCGCAGAGCAGTGAGACAGGTTTGGTAACATCTTCACAATCCTAATTGTGTGCCTACCCTTCTCTTCTACAAAAAGTGTTGTAACTTTTGGAAATGTTTAAGTATAAGTGACATCACTTGCTACTCTTCTTCCCATCCCTGGAACAATTTTGCAAAAAATTTATTACACAGAAATAATTGGACCATGTATCACTTCACTTTTAGGAGAGAAACAAAATTGGACAGCTTGCTTAAAGGAGGGGTGGAACAAGAAAGACTGCCAGCTCAGTCTACCCTTTGATTTACAATAAGTTGTTGCTGCTATTGTTTTTCTTAGCATTTAACCCAATGGTTGAGGGTCTACGGTACTTATCTTTGTACCGCCCTCATCAATTCTTGCAATGAAACTTAATGAATGATATAATAAGAAGGTTTGTTTACCTGATGGCTTGGCACTTGGCACAGAGCCCAACACTGATTAGGGCTAAAAAAAAAATCACCCAAGGTCACCTATCTGTTTTGTGCATCTAAGAGAAGACTAGAAACTAGATTTTCAGCTCCTAGCACCTTAAACGCTACAGTACACTACATCCTGGAATATATTCCAGTTGCTGTGTCCATAAGGGTCTCTTCACCACTTTCATTAGTACCCAACAAAGAACAGATTAAGAGAGGAGACACCAAATCTCAGGTTGCTTGCTAGGCAAAGGGAAATGCTACATTGGGAGTGGCTGGGAAAAGAATAGTTAAGGATAAAGGAAACAAAAACAAGAACTGGAGTAGGTGGCTATGGGAGGAAAATGGAATTGCTAGGAAAATGTTGGGTGGGTAGAATTAATGGGAAGACTGGGAAGATCATTGTAGTTGGGGAAGAACATGCAGTGGAGTGACTGGGAAACAGACAGCAAACTAGAGATAGAAATTGGGGGGCAACAGGCAGTTTCTAATTGCCGCATCTTGTCTGCTCAACTCTGGCAGCATTGTTGGCAGAGCAATCACTTTAAATGCAGTGAAAACAACCAATACACCCATGAACAAAACTTGGCCAATTATAATGGAAAATGGAAAAAAAAATGAACAAAATTTACAGGAATTTTTTTTTTCTGGTCACAAGATTTATTTTTCTGTACTGAGACTTTTTTGTGTGGTGGTCCTTGTTTTTAAAAGAAATTCAAGATTACTCTAATACATCTAGGCTGCAAATTTGTACACATAGAGTATGTATTTCGTTAAGTGGGATTTAGTTTTGATCATGATGCTCTTTGCTATGTATGTCCAATCTAGAAAGAAAACACAGATCTTACCTTTTAAGGCCTCTTCCATGTCTTTCTTACTATTTGCAGCATGATACCAGGTGACCAACAATCCATCTTTTTTGTCTATTCTCTTCAGATTAAGCAAATAATCTAATACATCTCCACCTGAATAAAAGGATGGCCTTGGTTCCGTGTCTGAAAGATTCAATCAGGACATTGTACAAGAAATAAATATGTGCAATTCATACTAATGTCTAGACCAAGATAAGGAAGATTTAAGGAATACTACCATCTCTGGGATATCATCAATATTTGGGATCTATTAATACATACAGATAGTCCTTGATTTACAACCTATTGTTTAGTGACCATTCAAAGTTACAACAATGCTGAAAAATGTGACTTATGACCATTTCCCACACTTATGACCGTTGCAGCATTCCCATGGTCCCATGATCAAAATTTGGACTCTTGGCAACTGACTCGTATTTATGACAGTTGCAGTGTTCTGGGGTCATGTAATCACCTTTTGTGATATTCTGACAAGTAAAGCCGCTGGGAGAGATCATCCGTGGCTTTGGGGTGGATTTCCATCAGTACGCTGATGATACTCAGCTGTACATTTCCACCCCAGGCCACCCCAACGATGCCCTTGACGTGATGGCCCGTTGCCTGGAGGCCGTAAGGGTCTGGATGGGGAGGAACAGACTCAGGCTCAACCCTTCCAAGACC